AAAGAGGGAGGACCACAGCTCGAACAACGGTGGCAGAAAGAGAAAGAAAAGCAAATCCCCCATCAGGGGGAACAGGCCAGATTTCCACCCCCGAGCTTCACACCCCTCAACGTGAAGTGTGGGGAAATTCTCATGGCAATAAAGGACGCTTCCTTTGTGAAGTGGCCACCCAGGTTGAGAAGTGACCCGACCCATAGAAATAAAAATGTATATTGTCATTTTCATAGAAACCACGGTCATAGCACCGAAAACTGTAAAAACCTCCGCGACGAGATTGAAGAGCTCATCCGTCGTGGGTACCTGAGAAACTTTGTACAAAGAAATAATAAAGGACAGACAGATCAGCGAGGGGAGCAAAAGAAAGACGCTCCCGAGTCCAGCAACAAGCCGAATGAACAGAGACAACTGCCTGAAGAGAGACCAGTTCGCGGGGTAATCAATACAATCACCGACAGGTCGGTTGTCGTGGGCTGCTCCACTGCAGCAGGGAAGACTTCAGCCCGCGAGCTAGAACATGAAGAGCAAAACCCTCCAAAGCGGCCGCAGATTGAGGACCCTATATTCTTTACCAAGGACGACGCGCGCGGGATTCAGTACTCCCACGATGACACGCTGGTCATAAGAATAAGATCAACGACTTCGAAGTCAGGTGCATCCTGGTATATTCAGGGAGTTTGGCTAATATCCTATTCAAAAGAACCTTCGACAAGCTATAGCTCCGGGAAAGCAATCTCCAGCCCGCCAGTACTCCTCTAGTGGGCTTCAGTGGAGAAGAAGTTAGGCCCCTTGGGTGAGTTTCCTTACCCATGGAGGTCGGCACGTGGCCCAACATCGTGAGGTTTGAGCATACCTTCCTAGTAGTCGCAACGCCCTCCCCGTACAATGCCATTGTAGGGCGGCCCGTCACCCGCACGCTTCGCGCGGTGGTATCTACTTACTACCTAGCCATGAAGTTCCCCACGGACTTCGGGGTAGCGGTAGCTCGGGGTGATCAGCTCGAGTCCCGGAAGTGTTACGTCACCGCTCTCAAAGGGAAAGGCATGCTGGCGGATGACCTCGAGTTAAAATGACCTGTGGAGTACTTCGAGGAGCGAGCTACGCTACTGAAGGGACGATCCACGTCCCAACCTCAGCAGAAGATCCAGCCAGAACTCTCCAGATCGGAGCCACGATCGAAGAGCCTCTCCGCTCTCGGGTGGTAAGTTTTCTACTTGAGAACTTAGATGTGCTTGCCTAGTCCGCGGCAGAAATGCCCGGCATAGATGCTAAGGTTATAACTCACAGGTTGAACACTGATCCTTTAGCCAGGGCAGTTAGATAGAAAAAACGCAACATAGCCCCGGAGAGCTGGAAGATAGTCGATGAGGAGGTCGGGAAACTCCTCGCAGTCGATTTCATCAGGGAGGCCCACTACCCGAGCTGGGTGGCTAACTCTATTCTGGTAAAAAAGGCCAATGGTAAATGGTGCATGTGCGTCGATTACACCAACCTGAATCGAGCTTGCCCAAAGGATTGTTTCCCTCTCCCCAAGATCGATCGTCTAGTGGTTGCGACCTTAGGGCACGAGTTGCTGAGTTTTCTGGATGCATACTCGAGCTATAACCAGATCAAGATGGACCCCACCAACGAGGAAAAAACAACATTTATAACCGAGCTAGGCCTATACTGTTATAAGGTTATTGCCCTTCAGACTAAAAAATGCCGAGGCAACATTTCAAAGACTTGTCAACAAACTTTTTGAGCCGTTGATCGACGACAAGGTTGAATGTTATGTAGACGACATGGTCATCAAAACCCGATTCTCAAACTATTTAATAAGTGACTTGCAATGTGTTTTTGAAATTCTGCGCAAGTGTAGTACGAAATTGAACCCTAGTAAGTGCGTCTTCGGTGTCACCTCGGGTAAGTTCCAGGGTTACATAGTTAACCGGCGTGGAATCGAGGCAAACCTTGAAAAAATCAAGGCTATCCTAGAAATGAAGTCACCTCGCAAGTTGAAAGAGGTCCAAAGGATGAATGGCCGCATGGAAGTCTTAAGCCGCTTCATGTCCAAATCAACGGATCGCTGCCAACCCTTTTTTAAGGCAATCAAGAAAAGTAAAGACTTCGAGTGGACTAAAGAGTGTCAGCTCACCTTCAACGCTAAATGAATACCTAGTTAGTATCCCGGTTCTAACCCGACCCGAGGAGGGTGATGTTTTAAAACTGTACCTCTCCGCAAGTGACGAGGTAGTCAGCTCGGTACTAATCAACGAAGTAGATCGGGTCCAACGACTTATCTACTATGTGAGTAAAGTTTTGCAAGATGTGGAAACCAGGTATCCAGAGATCGAGAAGCTGGCGTACGCACTGGTCACGGCAGCTCGGAAGCTTCGCCCGTATTTCCAAGCCCACACTGTCGTAGTCCTCACAAACAAGGAGGATTTGGCCCGACCTCCTAGTAGGGGAACACGTGGACGTGATTCCGCGTAAGCAACAACTCAACATAACCAGATCGACACGTGGACGTGACTCGACACAAGTGACAACTCAGCATAAGTCAGTTTGCTACAAAGCGAGCTCGGGTACGCCAGTACCCCAAACTGAAGTCACTTCAGGACGAACACACCTCAGTACAAGATTACACTGGGATCACCTTAGCCCGAGGGCACTTCAGCATTTACGACAAGGGCATACCTAAGCATGAGCTCGAGAAGCTTGCTACCAAGCAGCCCGGTATCCTACAGGTAGCTCGCCTACCGTACAGATCTCTGCATGGCAACCTCGAGGAATACACCCCCATCCTTGAACCCCGCAGGACCGTACTTATAACGGTAACATTAATTCACCAACTCCCCATTTTGACGGGAAGTGACAGTGTTACCGTGTGACGGCGTTTCAACCACCTAACACGTGACAAGTCCCATCGTAACAGGGATTCAGTGACCGTTCCACCTACCCACCTGAGCTAGTGTATAAAGACCCCGCTCTTACCAAGGGCGAAGGTACGTTCTATTATCATTGTTGTGTGTGTAATATTCACTCTCTAAGCTCTCTCACTGTTATCATCTTCAAGCTCTCTACTATCATTGTGTTCTAACTTAGCCATCGGAGTATCCACGCCGGGTGAGTCACCCCAGGATCTCTGACTCATCTCTTTCAGGAACCCGTTCTCATCGTCGCTAGAAGCCAATTCATATCCAGCAGGGAGTAACCGGATTACGCCACATCAGGTAGCCATTAAAGTTGGCAAGAAAGTTGTAATAAAATGGCTTTTATACCCTTTCTCAAACAAAGAAGTAGAGGATAATTTTAGTCTAAAAAATGTTTCACATTAAATTCTCACTTTTATATATAGTATAGATAAACAAGCATTAAATGAAAAATGTAAAATGACATTTTAGTTATATCTTGTTTTCCAATTATTGAATAAAAGTACTTTTGTATCTTTTCATCAAATAAGTACTAAATGAAGATGTAAAATAACAATTTTGTCTTTACTTATTTTCTATTTCAAACTTTAGAAACAGGGGCACTTGTTGTCCAATAAATTTCCAATAACACCTATTCACACTTTTATAGATAGTATAGATAGATTTCATAGGATAAGACTCATTCTTTCATTGTTGAATTTAAAGACGAGAAAAAGCAAAGCAAAGTAGATAGCAAATCAGCTATCTGGTTTTCAAAGTAGACAGAAAATCAGCAATCACCTGCTAATGACATTAATCACCTCTGATGATAGAATCAAAGTGCTCATAATAAAGGGACTTGAGAGATGATGCAAACCAATAGGCAAAGGAACAAGCTCTGTCCAAGAGGTCTACTATGAGACCCAGACCCGACCCAAACCAAATACACTTACTTTTTTCACAATGAAAGAGAGCATGTATAACCGATTCATTCTCTCTCACACACATCTACAACATAAAGGAGATGAAATTAATTTTCTTTTGTATAAATTTTCATTTATGGCAAGACCATTTTTACAACATCTCCAGAGAAAATTTTTAATCTTTGGTTCAATCAAGAGATTCCAAAACCTCTTCCAGAAAGGCTTCTCCTCCCAAGAACTTTTTCCTCTAGGGCTTGGGTTGAACTGATTCTTGGAGGCAATGAAGTAGGCCGATTTAACCGTGAACTGACTTGAAGCAAAGCCAATTCAAATGGGTTTGTCTTCCCTAGAAAACAAAGGCAGCCTGATTATCAGGATCCTTTCCGCTGTGTTTCCAAGAAAAGGTCCTTAACCTTTTGAGGAATCCAAGATCCAGTTTCACTGTTTATGAGATCAAAAACAGATTGGTTCTAACTCGATCTTGGTCTTTAAGATTCCAACTCAAGAATCCAAGGGTTAGACCATATCATGACTTGGCACCCGGACCCAACCTTCCACTGCAGGACTTTTTGAAGGATTTCTCTCCCTCTCAGGATGCATGTCCAACCTCAAGACTGGTTTCTTTTTTCCTCAACTCTTAGGAAGTGCATTTTTGGGAAGTATTTTTCTTTCATTACCTTTGGCCAAAGACTAAGAACCGTAACACAATCTCCAAGCGTGTTTGGCTAGGAGGGCTAAATTAAATAGATGATGATCCCCAAATCCCAACCCACCATTTAGTTTGTTCCTACAAATGATGTCCCAAGATACCCAACTTATTTTCTTTCTCCCCTTACTTTCCCTCCACCAAAATCCCCTCTAAAGTTTGGACAAGTCCTCACAAACATTTTTTGGAAGCAAGAAACTAGACATGCAGTAACACGGAATAATAGTAAGGACTGATTTTATCATAACCTCTTTGCATGCTTGGGATAGAAGTGCCTCCTTCCACCCTGTAGATTTAGAAGCCACAGTTTCTTTTAGGTGATTAAACAGTTGACATTTCTTTCTACCTATCAAAGGGTAAGTCCCTAGATAGATGGAAGGATTGCCCACTTTTTTGAAGTTGAGGTCTTTGGAGATTATCTTCTTAAATTTCTCATGCACATTTGAGCTAAAAAAAAATCTCTAATTTATCATAATTCACCTTTTGCCCATAAGCTTCTTCATAAATAGAGATTGCTTCCAACAGCTTCCCTCCTTCCTTAAGGTTGGAAGATGTGAATATGAAGCTATCATATGCAAAAAAGAAAAAGAAAAAGGTGAGAAACCACTGGAGCTTGCCTGCACACTTTTACACCTACGAGAGGAGTTTTAGACAAGCTCATTCAACAATAAAAAACCACATCAGAGCAAATAAATAATAGGTAAGGAGACAGGGGATCCCCTTGTTTGAGCCCTCTTTGGGGGTAGAACTTTCTTAAGTGAGAATCATTAAGGATAATCTGATACAAAACCGTGATTACACATTTCATTACCCCGCCCACCCATATGGGTCCAAACCCCATCTTCCTTAGAACAACTTGTAGAAAGGGCCATTCCATCCTATCATAAGCTTTGTTCATGTCAAATTTAATTGCCATTACACCCTTCTTTCCCTTTGTATGTTTCATAAAATGTATCACTTCATGGGCTAGAAGAATGTTATCACTTATTTGCCTTCCTGAAAGAAAGGCACTCTAATTAGGGGAAATAATTCTTTGTAGAATTAGCTATAGTCTATTACCCATGATTTTTCCTATTATTTTATATTATGTGTTGCAAAGGCTTACAGGTCTAAAGTTTGATGCAGATTCTGGATTTTTAACCTTGGGAATTAAGGCTATAAATGTGTGATTTAGCTTTTCCCTTAGGTTGTATTTGGTTTGATGGAAAAAGTAGGGAAAGGAAGGGAAATGTAAGGAAACCTTTACAAACATTGTATAGATTTCCCTATATTTCCCTTTATTTCCCTACCTTTTCCTTCAAACCAAACATAGCCTTAAAATCTCATTGTGAAAGAAATTTGTTACCTCTCTACAAAGGTCTTCCTCAATCATTTCCCAAAATTTTTGGAAGAAAAAGTTTGAGAATCCATCCAGACCTGGGGATTTTCTAGGGGGCATTTGAAAAAGGACTAATTTAATTTTCTCTTCTGAAACTGGTTTTTGGATTTCTAAGTTTTCCTTCTCATTTATCAACTAGAACTATTTCTCTAAAAGCATTATCAAACTGAGAAGGATCTAAGGAAGAGAAAATATCGTTAAAATGCTTGATAAAGACCTGCTCAATCCTCTCATTCCCTTAAACCCAAATACCAACTTCATTTCTAATTTTTTGTATTCCATTTCTTGCTCTTTTTCTTATGGTTGTCATATACTAGTATTTCTATCCCCCTCCTTCATTCAATTAATCTTAGATTTTTTAGCCCACATGATTTCCTCCCTCTTTAGCCTTTTTTTTCCCGGTTCAATACTCAGAGCTTCCTTTAATTTGAGTTTTTCCTCATGAACCTTACCAAAAACCTCTTTGTTCCATTTCTTGAGAGTAACAATTAGAGAAGAACATTTACTGGAGAGAGAATTTCTGCTTAGCCCACTCTCCCCAAGGACTCATTGATTACCTTTTCACACATTTCATGTGTTAACCACATCTCCTCAAATCTGAAGGGTCTTCTTCTCCTTTTACTCTTTGGATTTATGTCTAGGCAAATGGGAATATGGTCTGAGCCATGTACTTCTAAGGAACAAACTTTGGCATTTTTGGAAAGCTTCTTGCCATTCCAAATTGCAAAGTCCCTTATCCAATTTGACTTTAATGTTTTCCGTTCCATCCCTCTTATTATTCTAGGTGAACCTAGGACCATAGAAAGGGATTTCCATTAACCCCTAATTTCTAAGTAGATCCCTTGTCTGTCTGATGTAGCTCCATTTATATCTCTTCCCCACTTCTTTCTCATCAAAATTGAAATCCATATTGAAATCTCCCACACAACATGGGCCGTTTACATGATTTGCAAGATTTGAAAGCTTCTCATAAAAGATAGGCCTTCTTTTCTAAGCCTCTCCATAAATAAAGGAGCACCACTAGACTAAACCATCATTCCCAACTATTCTTGTATGGATCACATTCTTATTTGCATGCTTTATTTTAAGATGAAGATCTTTTTTTCCCGAAAAAAGAGCTTAACCACCTAATAGACAAATGGCATCCACACCCCAACAATCCAACTGAGCTAGATTCTTTAACTTCTTCGGACATTTAACCAAGGAGCACTTTGTTTCATTGAAAAACACAATGTTTGGTCTTTCCAACCACAGGGTTTCTTTCAATGCTCGAATTGTCATGGAGGATCCCATACATTGACATTTCCAGCACTAGAGATTCATCTCACAAGAGGGAGTTGTCTTGGGTCAACTCCCGCAAGCCCTTGTTTGCAACTACCATCAACCAGATTGGTTTGTATCATCCTTGGAACCTACGTCTCTTTGAATTCCTTTTTTGTCTATCCTGATCGGTCTTTTTTGTGATTCGGAAAGAGACTTTGATCTTTTTGAGAAGAGACCTCAAAGGGATTTTGTCATTCAGAAGGGATATGTGCTTTGTTAACACAATAAAATAAAAACTCCTAATCTTCTTAGTCATTCGAATTTGGCATTCTTGACGAAACCCAAAACTTCTTCCTTCTATGAAGAAGGAATAATCCAGCCGATTACTTGTTTTTTTTTTTTTTTAATCTGTTTGGCTTGACCACCCTAACCACTGCTTCAAGGATTTGGGCTTTGGGGGATCTCCAATCCTCCTGCAATGATTCTTAGACAAAGTCCGGGGTTTTTTTCCCTTTTTTCCTTTTCTTAAATTTATAGAGGAACCTTAAAGAAAGATTATCCATCTAATCACTAACTCTTGAGCATAAACAAGAACACAAATAGCAAGAGCTAAAGAGATTTTTGCAGATTTGACAAAGATTAAATTGATCAAATTTAACAAAGTCAAGATTTACAAGTAAAAGTTCACAAGGCATATGCACCTCCATTAGGATCGATTGGTGTTCTCTAGTTTCTTTTCCACTCCCCACTAGAGTGTCAAGGTCACTATTGAACAATCTCAAAGCTTCCTTCCTGAACACTTTGACAAAGCACAACTTTTTTTAGGGCGCTTCTCCTAGACTTCTTGGTTCCTCTCTAGCTTCACTCTAGAAATTTGCATGTCTCACCCTTTTCTTTAATTTATCCTCATGCAGCTTCGATGGGCTTTTTTTTCCGAATTTAACTCATCCGTCCTTTCTAGGTTTGGGTCCTCCACTACGCTCTATTCCGAACCCATAGGAGACTTGTTCAACCCAACCGGGTGGCTTAAATCTGGGCTCAATATTAACAGTTCTTCTATTTTTGTTTCTACGCGGCTGGGTGCATGGCCTTTTTCCTTATTTAGCTTAAGGAACAGAGGGCTGAGCACAGCACTGCTAGACTAGGGATTTCTTCAAGCGCAAGCTCGGTTGCTTCTTATTTTGGTGAAGAAACTATATTTGTACTTGGTCAAGCATGTTCCCTTTCACCGGAAAGGTAATGTTAATTTGTTTCAGTCAGGCTTACCCCTCTTTCGAGACAGTGCTTGATGGAAGATTTGGCCCGACCTCGTAACCACTCAACACGTGGCAAAGGCAACAGCTCGACACAACAGCTCACCAAGGCGCGAGCTCCGAAAGGAGGAACCAGCGGTCCGAACTCCCTGCAAGGAGCCTAAACTCCCAGTACAGAGCCCGAGCTCTCCCTTAGGCCCCGAGCCTTATGAACACAAAGGGCAACAACCCGAACTGGCCTGCCCCATGGCRGTTCGGRCYACACCTCTGTCCGAACTCAAGACTTCGCCTCGCACACCACTCCAGCACTTCGCCCCCAAGACACCGAACTGAACAAACC